TGCGGCTACAAAAGCGAGGTCATGCTCACAAAGTTTACCTTCTGATACAAACGGCACCAAAATGTGTGAAATCCTCTTTTTACATTCATAAGGACGATTCAGTTTTGCCCCTTCCCCCTTCACCTCCCCCTCTACGTTTTCGTATTGTAATAATGGCTGGTGGGCGTAGACTATGTAATGACAAATAGCACGCTCCTGGTTATGAATCCCGAATCGTATTTCGCTGAGCCTAAACATGCTTTTTATCCCTCCTAAATCGCTTCTTATGGTTAGTGTCGGCTTTCTTTGGGAGCAAAAACCCTAACTTTTACGTAGGCTGTAACTCGCACGTTTGTGCATGAGCCAAAGTCGTACCAGTACCATCATGACTCCGAAGTGAAGCAGAATGTGCTGCGCATCCCGGAAAGGGAATGCTTGGTGCCGAACGCTTGATCCTTTTCTGGACAGTAAGGATAGGCAACGAAGCTAAGCTTAGAAAGCTTAGAAAAGGGAAATAAAGAAATTCCCTGCATCTCATATAAAGCTGTGCACGATTAACGCGTTGACGACAGCCCCTTGTGCGTGTACCTCGGCACCTTTTTGTTTATTTTTTTCACAATCGTCATAACTTCTTCAATAATTCCACTACTGGTAATTGATGCACAGTTTTTCGGATAAGATAATGCATGCACACAGTTTTGAAATATGAAAAAGCCAAATAAATCGAAAAAAAACTGGCAGAATCGGGTGAAATCTGACGCGCATGTGTGCCATACTATCGTCAACGCGATAGCCACAAAATAGAACTACCCAGATGAGAAAAGTGTGCCAATTAAAGAACGTCTCTTGTTCTCACCGAAGAAATTGCACAGCACATCGACAGGCTGCTTACTGTATGTTTTAGCTGCTTGGAATGGTCGGTGTCATGGTGAACTGCGCTCTTATTGGCCAGTCAGGATTGGTACAACGGATATGGCCAGATTTGAGTTGGGGTGGACAGGTATGGTTTAAATCGCAGTTCGTAGGCAGATCCAAGTAGCTGATAGACTTGTTCACATGTATTCGGATATTAAAAAATTACCATCAAGAGAAAAAATTCAAAAGTCCCCCGACAATTCGTTTAGGATTTCAAATATTTTTGAAATTTTCCACAATTTTTGGTTGACTCTTTTTATTCAGTTGAAAGAAAAATAGATGGAACTCTCGATTTTCCGAGGGAAGTTGTCCTCGGAAAAAATGATCTTATCGACCTCTTTTGCTTGCGAAAGCCAAACAAAAATGGTAGTTTTTCAAAGAATGGGTCGGCCTCAGCTTACCAGAGAGCAGCATACGAACTGTCCCATAAAACTTTGAGTTGACATACTCAGCGCATATCGATAGAGCGCATGAGACAGTAATATGCAACCTGAAAGCTGCAAAAATGACCTGGCTCAAGAATTTTTGAGCATCAAGTTGCAACTGACAAACAAAGCGTTCGGTTTCAAAGGTCGAGCGCGGAATAGTGGTCTGCCTCTGGAAATTTGGCAACCGCAACGGAATAGAACTTATGACCTTCTGGGATAGAGCGAGGCACTACCACTACTCCACGGGACTTTGAAAGCCTGGAGGCTAGTGTAATGCGCTTTACTTCCAGCCAACTTTGACTGCTCACAACTTCCTTGGCAGGTTCATTTTGCAGTTTTAGTTTCCATATTTGTAATCAGCGTTTGAAGCTCTATCGATATATCTGGGTCTCATTCAAAGTTCCATGGGAAGTTGAATGCCTTCCCTGGTTAGTGAGCAAGTTCATTAAACCAAGCTTCAGCTCCAATAACTAAGGGGAGGCTAACACTAACGCCGGGCCATCTCACAAGAATGAGGACAGCCCAGCGTCGCTGGACGATCCGACTGATTGCTGATATACTAGTAAGTAATGCCAATAATCACGAAATTGACAAAGGTGTTCAGATTTTGATTGTTGTCGTGTTGGAGCACATTATACTAGCGTCGAAGATCTTCATTGATTTGGCTGTGCCAGATGTCCCGTACTGGATACGAATAGAAACAGCTAAACAAGAGCACTACCGTCGGGAAGCGTTCAAGGTGGGGAACCCTATAAAATGATGATCACAGACACGACTGAATTGATAGTGAGTTTCAGCGAGAGTCCAGAATGTTGTCCTCGAACCGGACAAGCTGCGACTCTTCACCCGGCGCTGATCCTTTCAATGATCTGAGACATCATCGCTCCTTGGCTGAGAACCGTCTCCAACGGAGGAGCGTCACACCTGCGTCTCGAATAAACGCAGTCAAACGGGAACGTGATAGTCACGACAGTAATTGCATCGACGATTAGTGGCATTCCATCAGACATTGTCAAGGTTGTACAGAGCATATAATTGCCATTTATACGTTGGGTTGTAGTTCTCAACTAATTTGTACATAACTTTTAATAAATTCACTATGTCTCACTTGTTATTTCACTCTTTGCCCCCGTGACCTAAACCTTCTCCAGTCTCGTTCCTGAAGGAACCGTCCACGGAAAATCGCTTTTCTCGGAAAATCGCTTGTCTATGTCCCACATAAATCGTTAGCTTGCGGACCGCATCCACGATAAGAATGAGAAAAACGAAAAAAAAATGTTTTGGTTTCTTAACTGCTGTTTTTGGCCGCAGTTCGCCTTGCGAACGTTTCACAAGAATGCTGGGTTGTGAACAATACTTTCGCTCCGGACGGGATTCGAACTCGCACCCCTCGTTTACCGGA